TTTATATCTGTGTCAACATCGGCGTAGTTGTCGAGCGACATCGCTTGGTGTCGATGTAGTTGTCGAGCGACAACAGAGTCGTAGATGCAGATGTCGAGTGACTCTTTTGTCATCCAGTAATTGTGTCGACATTGATGCAATCGCAAAGCGATAAAAGGGTTGCTCTACAATTGCATCGACGTTGATTTAGATGCATAGCGACACTCACATCTCGTCGTTACTCTCTTCCTCCCATGATTCTTAACGGCTCTGATGTTAGCCACTACCGATCAACAACTAGTATCAACAACTAGTATGTTAAAATTATCTTTTACTCTTTATTTTCGTGTTTCTGTTAATAAAATCAACATTATTAGAGATCGGAATATTAAATATAGTTAAACATAAGAGAATATGTAATTAACCCTCTTATGCAGTACTGGAAATGGTAATTGAGTGCTGAGACCATATCGAATTTGAAGGTTTTGAATTCTGCAGTGACATATATCTTTGAAATGGGTTTTTTAGTCACTGCAGACTGCTGTTTCTGATTGATGGAATAGAATAATACTGTGTGGGTTTAGGTTGACGACCCTCGTTAAGCCATGACGTGGCGTCAAAGATTGCGGCAGTCAAATACCACTCTCTTTATATTTTTGCTCACTGTACTTTGCGAGCTAAGAAGGTTACTAATTTAGCGAATTGAGTTGGCATTTCGTAGAAGTTGTCATGAGAAAAATGAATTTGACTTCTAACACTATCTATCCTCACCGTCAGCGCTCGCAGGTGAGACTTCTTCCTGTCAAGCTGGATAAGAAACAAAAGCCTTAGTGATCACAGTGAGCTTCAAATCAGAGTCAGTTTCGATTCGAAATCGGAGTTGAATCAAGTCGATGGTTTCGGCATCGGGCGATGCCGAATTGGTATCGATGATTTTTAATCAATAAAATATAAAATAAAAATAAAAATAAAACATAAATAAATCTTAGAATCTTAGGAAAGTATTTTATTTTTTTTCAATTAAAATCAATGGATCAAATTGAATCAATTGGGTTTCAGATCAGTGATGCTTCGAGCCTGACATGATTTAAGCATATCTAACTACCTACTGGGAGGGAATATGAACATTTAAATCTGTCTGGTAACATTCACTGAAAGAAGAAGAAAGCCCTGAAATCTTATTTTGATTCCAAAAAAGCTGCAAGAGAATATAAGAAAGCCGGAATCAACGCTGAAGCAGTAGACAAGATAGGCCAAGGTTGAGTTGGACATTTATGAATATATCCTTGTATTTACATAGGGGAGGAAACAAAACCTGTGAGGAGATCAAAGAAGTCGAGTTCATTTGATGTTCAGTTTGATACAAACCAGTCATATGAAAGCATAGGGCAAGTAGATGATGATCTTGAATTTTCACTGGATGCCTGAAGAATCCATAGAGGATATGATATAAAAGCCTGATGATGAAGCTGCCTGCCTTCACTCCCTGAAAAGTTGGCAGATGAATAAAATGCATCAGGGATCAAGAGTTATGATGGTACATTGCTCAAAGACATGAAACTATATCTATATCTGTTAACATATTGGATTATCACATAACCAAGAAAACAAATATAAAATAATCGAGAACCAATAGCATGGAAACCATAGGCTCCCAACAATCTAGATTGTGCTGGGTTACTTTTTGATGTCTTCCATGAGTCGGATGAATATGCTTTAAACTTTGATATGCAATGCAGAAAACTAATCCTGCATTTCTCTTATTTTTGGTTAAACTAATCCTAGAAGTGATATAACTAATCTTTCAAGCAGAAATTTCACAAAGGATTTTAAAGTATTTCATGTATAGATCATAAACATCCTTTATGAACAGTAATATCAGATCAAGGAATTTTTTTTTGGGTACTAGAAGATGTTCTGTTGGTTCCAATCACAAAACCATCTATGCTATTCCAATAAGAGAATAATTATCAGCAGATATACATTTAGGAAGTAAATGATAACGGATAGCACAAGCCAGCGGCATAACCCTATGCAACAAAGTTGCAGATCTGGTAATCAACTGCTGCTAATACATCGACATAGGGACAAGTACAAAAATAAGGTTCACATACTAATTATTGACCTAATACTTCAATAACGAGAAATAGTGTATCAATTATCACATGGAATTTCTTTTCCTTCCATTTAACTATGTTTAGGGCAATGCCACTTAATCAAACTAAAAACAGTAAGAACACCTCTTATGGTTCCTAATGAAGTTCTTTCAGGACTTCCTCTGATTCTCATCTCACCACTGATCAATAATCATAATCGATTCAGCTCGTCTAATGGTTTTCTTGTATTTTTTTCTTAATCAGAACTATGAATGTGAACATTTCTTATTCTTAGTTCTTGTGCAGCTTCCTTTTTTTCTAGTGAAGTTTCCAATAAATTTTTACTAACACTCATATACCTGCAAGAAATCTTCAAATAATATTTAAACGCATGTCAAAGCAACGTTAGGGCTACCGATCGTGCAATAGCTGCACCATGTTGATTCCCAATACATAGCATAGAGGGAAGCAGAAGCAAGAACTAAGTACCATCGCAAATTGAGTTAAGATTTAGTATATTGTTGAAGAAATTAGTAAAAGAATCGTTATCAGAATTCTAGCAGAACTACTTTATATTCAAAACATCAGTTAACCCCACTGCAAGTTTGACAAGTCTAGGCAGGAGAAAACTGTAACAGGTGACACATGTGTTTATCTCGCACGTTGCAACAACAATTTCAGGATGAAAAAAAAATTGCATTTAGAACTCCTGACAGCCGAACCATGCTAGAAAAATGATCATGAAACATTGTAAAACCAATTATGAAGTACCAAAGTTATACATCAGTTTATTGATAAATTTCTTTGATGAAATTACCATGAACATCTATTATATTTCCTTCTTCATGCTTTTGTTTCTGTAATACATGATAGCTTACTCAGGAATTCTGAACTAATTGCACAGCATGTCACTTTGGACCATTCTTTCTCCAAATGAGGGAGCATTTAGCTTTTTGTCTTACGGTCTTTCCGATATATTTTCCTCATTTTAACCTTTCCTTTCATAAAAACATCTGTACTCAACATATTATTTTCTTTTCTGTTATATTACTTAGAGAAGGCAACTCTAACCACTAATCAGAATGTAGAACATGAAACAACACATTGTTGATATGATAATAGAGAAATGCAGATCGGACACCAAGTAAACCAAACCAAAGTTCATGAACCGAATGAGAGCGATTTATATGAACATACCATTTGATGAGCGACCCGAAGAGGAAATGCTGCATGATGGGCACCTTCTCGAGCACCTCAACCTTGTACATCTTCAGCATGCCGCTGTTCACCTTGCTCCACGTCGGCACACCACTGATATCATCAAGCATGGGCGAGTGCTCCGCAAACACCCCCTTCTTCACCTTCTTCACGAAGGCAACACATGCCAAGTACATATACTCATTGGAGAAGTTATCGAGGATGTCCTGGTTGTGGATCGACTTCGGCTTCATGTACTTGTGATCAATCAGCTGAGCGGATCCAAAGATGAAAGGAAGGAAGTGGTAATCGTCGAGTCCCCACACCCCGTGCGACCCCGCTGGCTCGAGGCAGTAGGCGGTCTGCAGCCTCCGCATAAGGTCGAGGTAGGCTGCGAACGCCCGAAGGACGAGGGCCGGATAGTCCTCTTCTTTGATGAGCCCAAGGCGAGCGAGGCAGTAGAGGAAGGCGGCGAAGTTGGTCTCGTGGCCGGTCCCGTAGTCGATGCGGTAGGCGTTGCCGAAGGAGTCGAGGAGGTAGGGAAGGAGCTCGTCGACAGCGGGGTGGAGTTCGTCGGAGGGGAGGAGGGACAGGACTAAGCCGCGGCCCTCGTCGGAAAGGCGGGCGTGCCAGGATCGGTAGGCGGGGTTGCCGTAGCGGGCGGTGTGGGGGAGAGGAGGGATCTCGTCGATCCAGCGGGCGAGGGTTTGGAGGATGGAGAGGAGGCCTGAGAGGGTACCGGGGAGGGGCGAGGGAACGGGATCGGAGAGCTTGCGGCCGCGGACGGAGTGGGAGAGAGCGGCGATGAAGCCAAGGAAGTGGCGGCCAGCCGCGGAGGCGTGGAAGCGGCGGATGTCGTCGGGGGAGGAGATGCGCTTGGACGGGACCTCGAAGCGGAAGGGGGGCTCGGCAGGGGGTACGGGGAGGGGTTGGGGGACGGGGGAGAGGACGATGGAGGCGGTGGCGGAGGGGGCGTTGATTGCGGGGGCCCGGATGGGGCGGTAGACCGGCGGGGGCGAGGAGTCGGACCACGCCGGAGGGGACGACAGGGCGGCGGTCGGGGCGCCGCAGGCGCAGCAGAACGTGGGCGGCGACGAGATGGAGGCGGAGGAGGGGGGAGGGCAAGTGGTGGAAGGATCGGGATCGGCCATTTCTTCCACGGGCGTGAAGAGCAGCAGGGTCGAAGAAGCAGCGAACGAATAGTTGCGTCAGAGGAACGGGGAATACTTGTAATGGACGACAGGAGAGAGATGGGCTCGGCCGCTTAGTGAAAAGGTAATATTGGGCCTAAACGGAGGCCCATTAGGCTGTCAAGTAAGACGGCCCAGTCATAATTCCATCAGTACGTTGAATGATTTGCCGACGACATACGAAATGGATTGATACCGACCGGGCAATGACGCACAGCACCCGCCGTCTGATCCTACCTGCTTTCTTTTCTTCTTTCGTCCGTCTCCATGACCTTTCTTTCTATATGCCTGCCATTGGAGGTGCCATTGCACGTCAATTAAGCTTTGCAGTACTAATTAATTATTGCATGTCTTCGTATCCTAAGAATTAACATACTATATCTATATTCTCCCCTTTATATATCTATATGTAATGTAGAAGAAATATACGCAGTTGAGTTAGGAGAGGACATGCGAGTTACGAGGAGGAATATGGGCCGCCGAGCTTGTTGTGATGGGCCGGCCATATGGACCTGATGATATAATGAGGTTAAAAGAGTAATAATGATACAGTGATGCTTCATTCCTATTGTCATAATGCCTGTTTTAAAGCTTCATGACTATTTATGAAAACAAAAATAATGTTTTGCATATCAAAACCTAACGAAACATAGAATGACATAAAAAACAATTATATACGTCATGTTTTTTCCCTACATTTTTTATTTGAGGACCGTCTCCAATCCAATTGGGACTCACAACGCTAGCAACTCCGTTGGCCCCGCCGTCTCCAATCCACTCGCACTCAAGTGACGATCGCATCCTTAAGCTGACGTCATGGAACTTAGGGAAGCAGACTAGTGAGGAGTCCTGTTTCCTGTGGGAACCGAGACAGATGAGAACCGTACATTGTATCACCAATAGCAACAAAGAGAAGAGAAAAGTCAAATCTCTTACGACAACGAAAGCAGAAACTTCGTATCACCAATAGAAAGTTAACACTTTGGTTCGTGGCAAAAGAAAACATCAAAAAAAAATTGAGGGTTATACCTTACTTTTTCTAATGTTCCGGTGACTGAGAACAATAATTCGTCACAGAAAGCAAAAAAGTCAACGCCAAGCAAGCTGCCTCATTCATATGTTCTCTTTCTCTTTAGGATTGTTGGAAATATGAAGACGAATCCAATAAGGAACAGGACCGCCAATGTCTTGAAGTCATAGAGATCCCTAACAGACTTCAAGTCCCCGAGAGCCAGACCAGCCTTCAGGTACAAAGCAGTAGAGTCTGGTTAGTCCCAGTATTATATAGGAAAACATACGAACAATGATGATAAAAGTTGGCTAAAGGCCAATGCGAGTTGATTAAAAGAGATCAACAAACAAACAACCAACCAACCCAGAAATGCCAATAGAGAACAAGATGTTTTCAGATAATTCACCAGAGCCTAGTCAATGAATTATATGCTGAATGTTCAAGTTCAAGGGAAGCTAATCTAAACAATAGTACGAACTACCAAGGATGGTGGTAGATCTTCCACAAGTTGTACATTCTACGGGTCTAGGGATCTTGCAAGTTCTCATCTTAATGCATTTTGGATGACAACACAGATGTGGCATGAGTGCCATCATAACAAGAGTAAGAAACTCAGCATTCATAAAGAGGAGATAGATACAATAGTAAAAAAAAAAAAAAAGAAACCCAAATCACTTTAGATGTTGGTAAATCACAGCAACAGATGGCACCAAATTATAAAGCATAGAAATGATGACCCTCAAAAACCTCATGCACTGGGTTGATCTTTTTCTAAAATGATGGTCCTCAAAATCTGTAAATTTTATAAATGGAATTGAACCTAATGCAGGCAATAGAGGGGTAGGCGCCTCATAGGCCCCGGCTGAACAGCTGGGCCATGTTGCAGGGTCAGCCTGTTCAGCCAGTGCCTGCAAAGGCTTAACTTAAATGTCAATTTGCAAGAGTGAAATGATCAACAAACCTACGAGCTAGCCCCATATAGGTCAACCTTTTAAATACGGTGAAAAAGATCACTATTGTTGCTCAAATGTAACATACTAGCAAGTTTGAATAAAACTTTTAATCTCAATACACATCCATCACCAGTGAATTATAGGGCAAAAATGCAACAGCAAGTTAGTGCCACATATAGAAACATCTTAGCTGGCTACACAGCCAAGCAAACTAGAGTGGAAATGAATGATATCAAGAGGATATTCGAAAATGGATAAAACGAAATGACAGTTCAAAATAAGTAGATTCTAGCAGATAAAAAAGAAACTTACTCTGACAGTTATGTAAGATGCTGGAACAAGACCAACCAACGTTGCAAGAAAGAAAATGCAAAAAGGAACATCAACAATTGGAGATGCCAGATTTATGAATGTGTTAGGTAAAGATGGGGTTATCCTCAAAAAGAGCATGTAATTTAGCAGCCTTTCTCTGCGTTTTGCTATCTGCATCCAGAAAAGAAAAGATTCTGAGATGAGCAAATTGTTAATCAATTGATTGGAGTATGTAAAGAAGAAAGCCATAAGCCTGAAAAGGTCTCTAGAAAACAAATATAAACAGAGGCAGCCCAGAAAATAAAAGGCAAATTATCACACAAGGAACTCTGTCAGTACCTCTGATTGGAAAAATCTCAACTTTTCAGGCCACATCCAGCTGACCAAAGGCCTGCCAATTAACTTGGAAAGGAAATAGCAGGATGAAGCACCAGAAGTTGCAGAGAAAACAACCAGAATAACACCTTTTATGACCCCAAAAAGAGCTCCAGCCAGTAATGACAAGAATATGGTACCAGGTATCATGAATGTCTGCATAAAGATGTAGATTGAACAATATCCTAATACAAATTTGGCTTGGTAATCTCTGGCATAAACAGCCAAATTATCTCTGCATAAGATAATAACAGGAAAAGAAAAACTTAATACTATGCTAACCAAGTACAAGAAGTAAAGAAGCTGCGCATTATGTCATTTTTTTACTGCAAGCATAATTTCTATATTACATACAGATAGATCAGTTGTATTGGATATTATTCCAAATCAAATTGTAAGGAGATACAACTAGTACGGAAAAAGAAAAGAAAGTTCACAATGGGAAGTTTGCTACTTAAGCATTAAGCCAAAGTTGACATTAAGAACAGAATAAGTTGTGAATTGATAGGTTGTCATTCAATAGAAGATAGAAGGAAGTCAGGAAATCATTTGACAAAATCAACACAAAGATACCTTGTTTATCATACACCACCAGATAATTATCTTAGACTAGCCATGAACAAAAATGCCCTTCAACATGCCCTTTCCAATTATTTTGCTTATACTTGAATACTACTACTATATAATTCCTATGCAAAATACGATGCAACACTAAGTTATTACAACAAAGTTATGGCCACAATTTGCTTATACTTGAATATGACTATGATCTAATTCCTTGAAAACTACTATGATCTAATTCCTATGCAAATATGATGCAACATTAAGTTATTATAACATAGTTATGGCCACGGACAAAAATGCCCTTCAACATGCCCTTTCCAATTATTTTACTTATACTTGAATACTACTATGAGTTAAATCCTATGCAAATATGATCCAGCATTATATTATTACAACAAAGATATGGCCACTATTTCTTAGTGAATATAAAGAACCACATCGACAGAAGATTTCAAGTAAATCCGAAACGAATTTCTGCTTAACTTGGAATAGGATGCCCGTACTGGTAAATCTGGAATAGAAAATCCAAAGAGTTCATTTAAAAAAAGGTTTCCCACAGTTATTCACATAATAGTACCACAAGTTCATCAGTCTGAATGAATAGTACAATGGAACTACAGTTGGAGAATGAAAAAGGTTGTACAGACTACAGAGAATGAAAAAGGTTGTACAGAGTACAGATATTGAGGGGTGTTCATGGCTGCTTCTTAAAATGAACCACCAAGCACGATAACATAACAACAAATCAACTGGCTCCAGCCATCAGTGATAGATATGCAAAAAAAAAAACCATGAATCATATGAAGCTAACAAAATAAAACTTCAGCTTACGAAAGAACATCCTAATTCTTCAGTGGACTATGTTTCTGAACAAAAATGAGAATCTTCAAAGTTCAAAAAAAAAAAAATCATACAATGGCTCTGGCAAATAAACAACTTATAATTCAAAGTCACCAGCTAAACATCCTCCAAAACATTCCCTAGCCCCAAAATATGACCATCCAATGAAATCTATAAGAGATATCTTTTATACCACGATAAATGGACCAAATGTGCTTCTAAACCAAACCTCTACAATACCAATCTTAAATTGAAATATATTGTATCACTTATTAAAAGAGAGAGCAAAATATATAGTGTCATATCAATACAAACCCCATTCATTCATTCAAAAAAAAAAAATCCTCTAAACTGATTACTAGCTCAATGCTCTGATATCCCAATCTACATAGTATTACATATTGTGAAGTAAGGGTACCGTTCATTATTAATTTAGTTTGAGCCTTCAGAGTTAGAAGTCCCTCCTAATGGAAAGACAATTGACTATTTTATTGTCAACACCACATCCATAACTCAATCATGGCTGCTTCACATGCTTTTACAAGAAACATAATCACCACACAAGAAAGATCGAAAGAATTTTCCTACAAACATGTATTACAAACGATTGAACACATTTTGGCAGATTTATTTTCCTACACATTTTCCTACAAAGAAGTTGCTTTTCTAAAATTTTGGCAGATTTATTTTCTAAAACTAAGAAGTTGCTATTGTAAAATTTGGGAATTTGCTCACATTTTATGAAAGGATTTTTTTTAAAAAAAGATAAACTAAAAAAATTGTTTAAGAAAAGGTCATGACCTGTTTCTGACTTCTTCTAAAAGGAATTCTGACACAATTACTCTCGACCTCAACATGCATCGCTATTGTAATCACCACCACTACCACCATCAATTACAACCACCGCCCTACCCCCACCACCATTGTCACCACTTCCATTGGCCACCAACACTATTAACAACATTTGCACCATTACAAAGCATTACTACGATGATTGCTATTGTTGCCACCACCACCATCTCCTCCAATGATGCCATTGCTTGTCAAGACTTTGCTTCACAAAAACATTTGGCCAAAAAGCAATTTTAGAAACAAACTGTTTATGACAAAGCATATTATGCTAGTACTTCCACAAATCAATTCCAAAAGAAGCTTTTCAAAAGCTGCCTTTTAGAAAAGGAAAATCAATACAATACATGCCCAAAGGCAAATAATATAAATAGGGTGTTCTCCACTACCTGGAGTGGAGGTGTTCTAGATGTGAAGTATCATATATATACATTTGTGGTTTTCTTATTTGATGACAATCAAATTTTAGTAGCATCAGCACATCTAAACAGCCCCAAGGTTCTAAACGTTACATTTGAAAACCTATATCATACTTTTGCAGTGATTGTTAATCGGCATTATGCTGATCGAAATGTTCAAATGTATATCGGTGTGTGACCTATCTGGATGCATCTGACTAACTACTAGACGAAAAGATCACACAAATCTAAAAGTACTGAATTAGGGAAGCACAACCGTAAGATAAATAATATCTCAGGACGCGAATTTCACAAAAGAAAAGGTATCAATTTATGCTTTTCTGCAAGAAGAAAGCCAATTTCAAGCAGATCCACCATGGAAGTAAAGCAAAAGAAAGAAAGGACCTCACTTGAGGACGCGGAGGTCGGAGAGGTTGCGCGGCACCCTGAGGATCTTATCGTACTCGGCCTCGGGCATGGTGAACAAGATACAGAACAGTCCAACGGCGAAGATCAAGAACACAGCGGCCGCGGCAGCCGCCTCCCACCTGGTGAGCGGGACTCTGGACTCGGCCCTGAGCGTCTTCTTGGCCGTTGGCGTGTCGTCGGCGGCGGTCTCCTCGTCGCGGACGATCGAGATCCTCTGCGGCGGCGCCATGGAGACGAGAGTTACCGGCAGCGGCGCGCGGGATCGATCCAAGAACCTGCTGCTGCTTCATGAAAGGTCGCAATATCGCATCATGTCACTGGAGCAGGAGTAGGAGATTCCGCGACAGAATCGAGGGGGAGATGCGGATTAAATCAAACGATTTCCCCCAGGGAAAGCCCTAGAAAGTGGAACGAGAGGGGGGAGGAAAGAGGAGGAGGAGGAGGAGGAGGAGGACGACGAGGCACAACGGGATATGTTTGAAGGGCGACGGTGTTCGAACTCCAACGCACGCGTCGACTCGATTTTGTAATGGGATTTGTAAAAAAATAATAACTCATGAAACCATCCAATACAAAAAGAAATAGAATTAGTAATTAGATATCCATTCACAATCCATACTCAAACCAATAAAAAGTAAACATGAGTTGAAATAATACATCAAACTAAGTTCAAATGTATAATATCATCACACAAATCACATATTCTATAATCTACATGGCATCTAAATCATATGTATAGGTTTATTTAGACTATTGTTATGAAACTTGAACGGATCGATTGGTCTGATCACAGAAATCACGAACTAAAATTCCAACCGGTTTAGTTCACTAATCAGATCGTTTGGAGTTAAAATAAAATCTATGACTCAAAAGATCTTGTCTATTTGAGTTTCTTTATTATGGATTAATCTAATATTATTTTACTTTTATTCATTTAATTCTTTATAATATTTATATTTTATGTTTATTTAAAAATATTATATATTAATATTTATTTCAAATATAATTATGAAAATAAAAATACAAACTCTAAACTATTACCGACATAGAGCTTCAAAGTCGATGTGGCGAACCACGTCGATGCGACTCGGATTTAGATGACATGACCACCATCTCGTGTTGTATAAAGGCCGTGTAAGGTATGTTGCACGGTACGGAGTTGTTTCTGGAAAGTTTGGGACGGTGTCATCTAGTATGAAGCTGCCTCGAAAAGCTTGGAATGGCGTCGCTCGACACCGATTCATTCAGGTCGATTGGCGTCCGCATGGAAGATATGGCTCGGTCATTTAAGGGGTCTGCGGTTATTAACAAGCTATCCTCCCACCTTATACAAGGTCACGCAAGGTACGTCGCATGGTACGGTGTTGCTTCGTAAAGCTCGGGACAATGCCATTTGATACGAAACTGCCTCAGAAAGCTTGGAACAGTACCATCTGATACGAAGCTGGCCCAGAAAGCTCAGAACGGTACCATCTGGTATGAAGCCGCCCCGGAAAGCTCAAGATGATGCCACTCAGCACCGATTCGTGCAGGTCGACCGATGTCCGCACGAAAAATATGGGATGGCCGCTTAAGGGTCAGTGGTCATTAATGAACCAAGTATAACCGACCCCGTGTGCAAAAATCCACCACCTAGCCAACACCAGGAAGGGGGATCAACACCAACACTAATTTAAGCTTCGTAGAGGTTGGGTCGAGAAATCTCTCTCCCGAACACAACCTGTGTGCAGGAATCTGGTGAGTATGCAGCAAACCTCTCATCAAGAGAAAAGATCACACTCGGAAGGTGAGTCTCCAGCTTAACCCGACCCGACATTCGCTTCCACCACATTATATGCTCAGGAAACCTTACGCATTCGGAGCCCGACTAAACCGTGACGACCCCTCGGCCACAGTGTTAAGGGTTCGCTAACACTCGGGTTTGTTGATACGTCACGCCTAAACCAAACCTAAATATTAATTTAGGTTTTGCATCAGTCAAGTTTCATTAAAGCCTAAACCAAGCTGGCTGTGAGAGAGACTTCCACTCCCCACATCAAGCTTTTGACAAGGTCGCAAATCATTTGTCTTTGTTTCATGGCCAATACTTGTCATCGATGGCCTTCTACACTTCAACTGGCCTACTAAAATCTTCTGGACTAACCAAATATTTCATAGCCTCCCTGTCATTGATTTTGAGGGACTGATCTTCTCTGTTCTTAAACAAGCATCGAAGACAAACTTGAAGAGATCAACAAAGTACAGGAAGATTACTGCATCTATTTGAAATATAACACAGCCTTTCTGATATCTGATCGAGTACTGCTCTTTCTTACAGTTCTCATGCGTGTTTGGCATCTGTAGCAGAACTGATGCATCCAGCTCACACATACTGGCAGACCTCATGGATGCATCTGAGCTATGGAAATGATGATTCCAGCTAACATATGCCCATTTTTATGTCCAAGGCAAGGAGACAAGGAGAAGGACTACTGACTGCCACTGGACTCGCGCTCGACGAGCGACTTGAAATGGATGAACTCCTCCACCGTGCAAGGAAGCTTCAGTGGAACTGGGGCACCGGAGCGGTAGCCGTAGACCTTCTTGGCCCTGTCGAGAAGACCAGCAAAGTATGGATGATTAATATAAGTTACAGGCATCGTGAGCTTCTGCAACCCACCATCTCCTTCTTCGTTCTGGAGGCCAACTTCCACTGTTAGGTGTCCCTTCATCTTCGTTCCTCCTCCTGTCCCAGACATGGAAACAGTACACATTAGATCGATCTTAGTCAAGCGATAGGAGAGGAAAAAAGATAGTTCCGGAGCCGAAGTAGAACCAAGGAAAGGTCCAGGCTTGTTCTTGGGTTCCCAAGAAGGTCAATTGAAGGGCTTGTAATAGGGAGAATGATCTGATGGTGGTTTCCATGTGGGATGAATTTGATTTAACGTAGAATCGTAGGTGCAGAGTTACAAATCCTGAAGACACCCTCACTAAATCATTCTCAGTGCATGCAGCAGAAGATTGGCCAAAGTGAACAGTGTTTGCCATTCAATGTCGGGTGTTGAACGAAAGGGATGCAAGATGCATGCATATGCATCCTTGTTGACCTTTCCCTCTCTTCATATAGGGTAACATCTTACCTAATGAAGCACATCAGAAATGATCACAGCTGATCTCTCCATGCAATACACTGAAAATATTATTTGTTGGTGAACGTTTACGTCATGATCGAGATGTCAGAAATGTCCACACGGATGCTCAGGTCACTTCGACGTCGGGTCGGGTTACTGTTGTTTCGTTGTCGAGTTCCTACATATAGGTCAAGGGCGAGAGGGAGATTTTCCGACTCGACCATCCGAAGTTTAAGTTAGTGTTGAATGGAGTTCTTAGAATCTATCGTTTTTTACTTGATGAGGATTAGTAGACTTTATACCATCAAGCGGGGGTTGACCGTACTTGATCGGATGATGGCGACCAGCTCTTTAGGCGGTCGACTTGTACCAGTGCGCGAGCACCGGTTACCCTGTACGGAATGGCACCGCAAAGCGCTGCTCCAAGCTTCCCAGAGCAGCTCCATTCCACATAGTGTTGCCTTGTACAACTTCGGATGACAGGGGAAGGCGGCATCACTCCTGGCTTTTCGGAGTGATTGCCTTGTATAATTTCAGATGGCGCGAGAAGGGGTCGCTGTTCTCCTGAATCTAAGGTGGGGCATCTGACACGATGCTCTATCTCAGTCTCGAAGCTTCATATTTGTGCTATCATGGTAGCTAACCGCGTCCATGTGATGATGCCAGAATATATCCTATCATTCTCTCTACCCCGGTCCCTTCTGTCAATTGGGTCATTCATTGCGTTGAGATTGGGGAGGAGGTTCGTCGAAATGCTGCTTGAGTGATGATTGGCCGAGGTACACAACTCAGGTAGGGATTGGACTTGTTGACCAAGGTACCCAACTTGGGCACAGGTTGGACTGGTTTGTCGAGCCGTTGCTCAAGCAATGATTGGCCGAGATGCACGACTCGGGAAAGGACTGGTCCTACTGACCTATGTACCCAACTTGGGCATAGGTTGAACTGGTTTATTGAGACGCTGCTCGAGCGATGATTGGCCGAGATGCACAACTCGGGCAGGGACTAGACTTACTGACCAAGTTACCCAACTTGGGCATAGGCTGAATTGGTTCGTTGAGATGCTGCTTGAGCGATGATGGCCGAGATGCACGACTCAAGTAAGGACTGGATCTGCTAACCGAGGTACCCAACTTGGGCACAAGCTAGACTAGTTCATCGAGATGCTGCTCGCTAATTTAACCAAAGATGACGCATCGTAGCCTTTGGTGGGAAACCTTTGACGATGCATCATGGGTTTTGGCGAGAGTTTTCGGGCGATAGAGGTTGGCAAATATAGTAGGATATGCTATCATTAAATGCCGCCACTATTTCTTACCTAGGGGAGGCCAAACGTCACCTTGTGGTGATGGGCTTCCTCCTTATAAACCCCTTTCTATGTGACGATGGGGTATCACTCAGCCTCTGCATTCCTGTTTTACACCTCGGACTATCCCTTTTGGTCATCGAACTTAAGGTCGTGATGTCTTGGTCTTCTTCATCTTCCTCAAACCGGTCCCCTCTTGAGGTCAACGAGTCGACCTCCGAGAGTTCTAGGGTAGAAGTCGTCAGTTCGTCCTCACGTGGCATGCCCCGATGGATTCGAAGGTTTTTGCGACTCTCGAGGTCGTAGCATGACTTAGTGAAATGGTAATATCAAGCCTAAAAGAAGGCCCATTAGGCCATCAAGTAAGACGGCCCAGCCATAATTCCATCAGTACGTTGAATGATTTGCCGAGGACATGTGAAATGAATTGATACCGACTCAAACCCCAATCATTCATTCAAAGTAATATCATCCAAATATATAAAACAAATAATAATTATTATTAGATGCTGGATGATGAGGATTGACTACGACCCAATTGTATAATAATATATTAATTGACTTTCTAGACCGATTGTGAGAATGATTAGATCGGTCTGATTTCTTAGTCACACAAATTAGATTTAGTCTAACCGATCTATTCAACAGTTCTAATTGTCAATCTTAGTTGGCATGAGATGGCAAAACTTATGAACATGCAAAACATGTGTGCGTACTATTAAAAATGGTTTTCTTTTTCTTTAATTTCAAAGGAAACAAAAGCCAGGAGTTGGGCACTAAAGAAAGAAGCACTACTGCTTGATATAATAAAAATAAAAAGGTTAGGTAGCTTGCAGGTCATGCAAATGCTCCTCTCTAGACATGACATCAACTTCATAATCAAGCATAGCAGATAGGAATTCCCAGAGAGTTGGGCATATCAGTTGGGAAACCTGAGAGAAGGGAAAAGGTTCTTTATTCCTAATTGTGTGTGGTTCTTATGTCATAGATTATCCTCCTTCCCCAAACAATCTAGTAACATTAATTTAGGAAAACTTTCTTGATGTGTCATCTGAGATTGCAGTGTTTTCTTTTCTTTTCCTATTTATATCTTGGCAATTGTATCTTGAACTATTAAGAGGTCTGCTTCTTTGTTTCCTTCTCGATCTTGTGATCAGAAAAGTCAAGAGAATTTAGAGCAAGTGTTGAAACCCCAATGTTTCACCAAACCTGCAACAATGTAAACGGGAAACGCGCGCCTCTCAACGTGAGGTCACAAACCTTCTCCATGAACCCAAAGTAACGCAAACCTTCTCCATGGTTTAGTAGATCTTTCTTTCTCTGTTCAAACAAACAAAGCCTTAGTTTTAGACAGACTTGCAGACAGATGAACTAACTACTTTTTCTCCCATATATCTATCTATCTAG